TCTTACTATGCTAGTTTCTATGCTATGGAGTCGTTTTGGCTGCACCGCTTCTCCTAAAGGGTTATTTGATAGTATTGAGAAGCAGCCGCTAACTATCAGAAGACAGCAGTGAAAACACACGGAAGAGAGAGTTTGATGAGATGATCAAAGTCAAAATCAATAAGATGTGGTGCTGCTGTCAGCCAACAATTATAGTATGGGTGTAAGAAAGCCAACAGTACAACTAAAACAAAAGGATTTTATGGTTTCTGATTAACACTTTAATCAATTATTCAACATTTTTCAAAGGTTAGTTGTATCTGTTATATCTTTCAGCTCTCTTATCTTCTAGGTTTCCCAATCTGTGGATCACTGCTGCAGACTGCCTGCTGCTAAACTTGAAGGGGAAACTTCCTGTGTTGAAAAATGAAACCAGAGACAAAGGGCAGAAAAACTGCAGCCCCCGTTTGGCTTTCTTTTTGGATCTCATGTTAAAACGCCCATTTTTTTTTACAGCAAATTTCACAATGACAGCCTGATTTACAAACTGTTTTTGTTATGAAGCTCATTTATTTACTTATGCCCACTGCAGTGAGGGAGAGCTTTTTGCATGGTGTGTCCTTTTTTGATTTTACCGAGGTGAAAAGGAAAATATAACGTGCATGATGAGGGTCATGTTTAAGTTGACTGGCAGATGGAAGGTAAGTTGTAGCCATCAGTAAAGAGGCGAAAGGTCCATGCTGAGGTTTGTTTCAGACTACGTTTACACGTGCCCGGCTATTTTCATAAACTGACATTTCACTCTCTCCACTCACAAAAAAACTGCACACTACTACGTTTCCAGAAGAGTTTTCATTCAACCTAACCCGTGTATATATGCCGGCAAGAGCATGCCAAACCTGTAGGTGGCAGTGTAGCGAGACGCTCAAGCCCACGTTAGCCAATCAGAATCCTGCATAGCAGCAACAACAACAACAACAATGCTGCTACTCCTCCACAACCTTCCATCACTTCCTTCCGTCCGGCGCACAATCTGCCATCGGCTATCCAAATCTCTGTTTTTTCCCTGTTTACATGCAAAAGTGCAAACGGAGTTTTCCCTCTTCTCCTTACTGGCGGGAGTTTTTAAAAAGCATCGTTTTTAGGGGCGAATTCTATGTTTGCGTCTAAACGAAGGGTGCAAACGATGGTTAATGTCTCAGTTTGTATTGTGCCCACCATCGTTGTGCTTCATAACATCTCTTCAGACACCAGTGGGTGTACCACAAAGACTTCTCCACTGTTTTATTTGTATTTCTCAACTCCACCAGCTACGCTATCAATATCAGACTTACTTACTGTATATTATCATTATTGAAAATCATGTAAATCTTGGCCTTGTTATGCTATAATCGTGACTATCACTTTTTTCCAACCATCATCAATGTAATCTTGGGTAACTGTTCACTTCAAGTCTGCTTCTGTTCAAGGTTTCTGGTTCAAAAGAAATTTTTCCTTGCCAGTGCTGCCAAATGTTGCCAAAGGCTCGCCCATTGTGGACCCACGTTGTGTTTCTGAAGAGAATTAGAAATAGCTCAGACTTGCTCTTTTTGTTACTCAAAGTCATATTTGAATCAATTTGGGGTATTTGGGACTATTTTTCCGGATTCCATTGACTGTGTTGAAATGTCAGAGACAAAATCCTCAGTCTGCCCTCTTATCTGAGAACGAAAAGTTTGAGTTCGACAAATCAAAGTGAATTTTTAAAGTTATGGCTGTTGTAGAAAAAATCCTGTCTTTGTCTTGCTACAAAAGGCTCATGCCAGTTTTAATTGGGTTTCAGAAAGACAGTTTTGAACAAAATTAGCCTCTGTGAAATCACTTTTGACAGGCAGCAATGACTGTCTCAATGTTCACATGAGCAAGCCAGTGTTGTATGAATGCAGTTTAAAAAGTTATGAAGCCATCCTTGAAGCAAATCTGAAAATGTCCACTTCTCATTTAAGCCTATGACAGGCAAATATATCCTTTAGGGTTTTTTTTTCCCCTAATGAGAATTGAAATAAGGTCTGCTTTGAATGCTTTCTGAATCCTGCTGCCCTCTTTGTTCTGAAGCTTTGTAGCACATTATGAAATAGCATGATGGGATTTCAAGTGTGCAGAAGCAGCTGTAAGCATCAGGGGGACCATGTCAAGAGCTAATTAGAGGCCTTTTTATAGAAAAAGGATACTGGGGCTGCAGCTATTGAATATTTTAGTAATGGAGTATTCTACCAAATATTCCATCTTTTAATAGAGTAATCAGATAAAACATGATTTTTAAGTTAAACTTCCTGTAAGGAAACTAGATTTAAAAAAACAAAAACAAAAAAACTCTTGTTTCTGCTGATGTCTCCCTCCCAACAGCGAATGAGCCCAACTGTGTGAGGATAAGCTATTTCTAAATAGTGAAAACAGGCGCCAGTGGTCAGGTCGGGACCACGAACGAAACGATTTACGGCACTCAGACTCAAGATGACGCACATTTTTTCTTTTTATTTTACACTGAAAATGCACATACTACTGTCACTACACAAACTGTGACAACAACGTCTTGCAGCAGGAGACCCCCGCAGACACTGTGTCATGCTGCAGCCACAGAGTAAGAAGCTCCTTTTTTGCCTTTTTTTAATTACAACTTTGTCTCTTTCTTCGTCGCTTTTTGTGTTTTCCTTTTGTTTTTCCCTCTCATCATCAATTTTTCCGCTCCGCAAAACCAAAACCGCGCTTACTCCTCCTTCTACCACAGTAAAGCAAGTGCGTTGCGTCACCTTGAAAATAATCTGAGCGAAACAGTGACGTTTTGAGTTTATAAACGAGTACTCGAGGCAGAGAAAATCCCTCGATCATTTTTCGTAATCGAGGTACTAGAGGAATCGTTTCAGCCCTAAATCATACTTTGAAATGCCCTTGGGCAATTAAGTTGTTCATAACTTTACAACCTTTTATAAGTAGATATCTAAATAGTTAAGTATGCAAGCAGGTATTCAGTTTATTTTGTTGTTATGATATAGTTTAAGTCAAGTACATGTTAATAAATCACCATCCAAGGAAATATCAGATGCAGTCTGTGCAGATTCTTGGGTGGCTCTTACAGAGAAAAAGTCATCAGCAGTGTTACTGTTTCATACAGCAACATGCTGTTTATATGCAAATGTGAAGCTCTTTCTTGAACCATCTGTTATCACCATCCTGTCAGCAGCCTGTATGATAGTTGAGCAGAGGATAGACTATAAAGTGTTAAAAGTTGGGAGGTTTGGATGGACCCTTGCCTGTGACCAATTCACATAATTTCTATGACAATTTCATTATTCCCTCATGTTGTGATAATCTCCTCCTGGAAAGTCAATAAGCACAAAAATGAACAAAAGCTCAGAACAGCGTCGGTAATTTTCAAAATCAATATTTTGTTTTTATTAGTTATTTAATTCTTAATGTCAAAGGAGGAATAATCACTGTCTGGACTTGCTTTGTATTTACTGAAGCAGAGCAGTCAATGAAAGTGTGATTTAATTCCAGGAAAGTGAAAATGTCCCCGGCATGAATGAAATTTGGAGACTGAGTACTATATTGATTCGATAAAGATTTGTTTTCTAGACTTTTTTTATTTTGTCTCTGCTGTGATTTCTCTTTATTACTTTTATAATTAAAACTCAGAGTCTGAAATGGAATAGGAACAGACACGTTTACAAAGGATTATATCCTTCAGAGTCAGCTTAGACGCAGCCTGTTTAAGTTTTCATAAATGAACATTTGCGTTAAACAAAGTACATATTATAATCTGTTTTAATCAAGTCTTTTTTAAGGGATAGTGAGTTCAAGTGACAATTATTACTGCCAGCTGACTGAAATCCCTCCTTTTAGGACAAGAGGTGAAAAGTATTCGCTTTATGTATCATTGTCATTGGGACAAATTCAATCAATTACATACATTCACACTCTCAGTGTCTTATCAAAGGTAGTAATTCATTGTGATCTCAACATAATCTCCAGTTATTCAAGAAGAAAAGCCAGCAGTAACATAATATGCATAATCTATTTTCATAACCAGGCGCAGAAGCTTAGTCATTCCTTTTGTTTGTCTGCAGATGACTATAAGAGTCTCTCCGTGAGTCTGTCTGTCATAACAGAGAGAGAATCGAGTCAGTGGGAGAGGGTTCACAGTCATGCTACTTTGGATTCAATAGGAAAGAAAAAAAAAAAGACAGAAATGATGTAAAAAGAGAGGAAAACACAAACTGAGGTGTGCTAACTCGAGAAAAGAACAGCAACATCACGAACATGAGCAGCTCCTCTGTTTTCTTTCTCCACCAGTGGCCTTCATTAACTCTTTCTTTCCCGTAATCATTCGCAGGAAAGGTTGGCGGTTATTTGACGACAGCATGTCATCCAAGAATAGAAATGATTGTTTTCTTTGAATAGTCTCACATTTCTCTCAATCGTTGACAAATACTGAAAGACAACTTGGCTGACGAAACTTTGAAAGCCTGACCTTTAGATGACGCATTTCAGTATGTCAAACCGAAGCAGCTGTCCGCTTAATACACCCTCAGACAGAGGTTACACTAACCTACACAGCCTACCTGGGCCTTGTGCACAGAACCTAAATATGGATGTATTACACGCCGTCCTCACTAAAAGACGTACATTTTTTATAGGTGATTTCAGATCCAACATTAGAGAGACACAGAGTATAATACTAGCAGAATTTTAAAAAAGTCGGGGGAGAAAACCTTTCACAGGTGCTGCTGTTGTTTTTTCTGTATCTGTTCACAGTGCAGATGGAAAAACACCAACGTTGACTCTACATGGGAAGGAAACCATTGTGCCATTGAGGCAAGAGGGATTGGTGAATTTGAGGGTCAACTTTTTAGTGGTATAAATAAATAACATCATATTCAAATCAATATCTCATGTTAACTTGTTTGTATCTTTAGTCAGTAGCTTGGTAATGTACGGTCACTCTAGGGTGCAAAACAAAGCGGCAAATCAGAAAACACAACGACAAAAGAGAAAACACAATGGCAAATCAGAAAAAATAACATTAACCATTGTGTGTTCTCTTTTTGTGTTTTCTGATTTGCCGTTGTGTTTTCTTTTTTGCATTATGTTTTCTGATTTGCCATTATTTTCTATTTTGTGTTGTTTTTTTTTCTTTTTGTGTTGTGTTTTCTTATTTGCCGTTGTGTTGTCTTATTTGCCATTGTGTTTTCTCTTTTTGTGTTGTTTTTTTCTCCTTTTGTGTTGTGTTTTCTTACTTGCCACTGTGTTCTTATTTGCTGTTGTGTTTTCCCTTTTCATGTTGTGTTGTCTCATTTGAAACTGTTGTTTTTGTGTGTGTGTGTTGTGTTTTTTCTCTTTTGCCGTTGTGTTTTCTCTTTTTGTGTTGTGTTGTCTTATTTGTGGTTGTGTTTTGCACCTCAGGGCCACCGTAGTAATAAGTTTATTTAACATTATATCTTACCTAAACAGCTATTGGAGAACGTTAATCACTATAACGGCACACTCAGTAAACCAAAGTACTTCATATAAAATTCAAAGCTGACATGCAAACAGAGTGCTATTCAGAAATTAAAAAAAGACATCAGGGATACACAATGACACACACAAACACACGCACACACACACACATACAGACAGGGTCACACACACTCTCTCTGAGGATGGCAACCATCCCAGACACAAATACAGTGCCATGCAGGGCCACACAGGAGTCCAATTACCCAAGGTTCTCTTGTCTCCTGTCTGGCATGTAGACAACAAGCCCTCAGAATCGTTTTTCTGCTCGTTAGGCATGCACGTGTATGTACAGGCTGCATGTGTATGAAAGTGTAGACATACATACACACAGATGGCACTCTACTGTATTTCTAATATATTCTCTGCATTTCATTTCTACACCACGAGCTGGGAAAAAGGATGGAAGTACATCTTTTTTTTCTGTTGATATAAGCAGATACAGTAAGAACTCTGAGAAGAAAACTTTTAAAATGCTCTATATATGCTCTAATTATTGACTATATTACTGTACATGTGAGATAGCATCTGCATTTATGTGCGGGCGTGTTTGTGAGTTATGTTTCCTCATGCCTGGTGATATATAGCTACTCTGCTCAATACCAAATAACTACATAGATCTCTTGAGGAGCAATTTAGCAGGGTGTTATTAGACGCACAAAGCACAGATGAGCAATAACACACAGAGCTTGTGGAGAGCTAATATCCGTCATTTTGCCCATAGGCCTTTCATTGTATACTGTGTGTGTATGTAGGGTGTGTATAAAGTGTGTCTTAGTCAGGTGGTTCAGGAGAGGAGGCATTTTATTCATATTGGTTCCTATTCCTCACTCTCTGCACAGCATGAGCTGATGTATAGGTCTGTGTAAGGCTTCTCAGTCCAGTTCCATGTGTGTGTGTGTGTGTGTGTGTGTGTGTGTGTGTGTGTGTGAGACCAATGGAACAGCTGGCCAAGTGTCACTGTGAGGTGAAGAGGCTACTCTGTGCTGGCAATACTGAGAGGACAGATGATCCACACTGGCCATGTGCACAAGTGTCTGAGCGCAGTTTGTATGTGTGAGTGTGTGTTTGTGTGTGTGTGTAGTCTGTGTCTCACTAAAGTTGAAGGGCGCTCCGATCAGCTCTGTCAGCTAATGTCATGCCCACTGTCCTGGCTGACAGAGGGCGAGACGGGGTCAGCGGTAAGGAGGGGATGGGGGATGAGAGCAGCTGAGACTGTGACATGAGTTGCACAAAATGTGTGATTTTGTCTTTCATTGTTTGTCTGTGTATATGTGTGTGTGTATGTGTGTGTGTGTGTGTCTGTGTGTGTGTGTGTGTGATGGAGAAATGTTCGTTTAAATGATAAGATCCTTACCTGCTTCACTTATTACTGTGCTACGTACTTGACTATGATTGGTCAAAACTGCAGGAACCTGATCACACACATCATAATAATGCTGCGTTCCAGTTGTGCTCAGAAGTCTGTGATGACGCTCGGCTCAAACAGCGTATCCTCCGGGAGAGCTACGCAATCCCTGAACACCCATAGGCTGTATCAGGTGTCAATCATAGAAAACATGAACCCCCTAATAACTTTAAAAACGGAGCTTCACAGACAAACTGCTTATTGATGCGTATAATTTTACATTCGAGTTTAAGCTTTTTAAATCTTTATGTTGGCAATTTTCTTTCGTCGTTTAAACCACTTATATAAAACAACAGTAAACACCACAGAATGGTCAAGCAAAGGAATATTGTTCAGGGTGCAAAGACAGAAATAAAAATATGTGGATGTTTACAAGTGGAACCGACTAAAAACAATTTCAAGCGAGGCTTTGAAATGTGAAAAAGTGGAACCAACCATGTCTTGAAAATGTTGCCTTGGTGTTGCATAAGGTGACATCAAGTAGTCTCTGCCTTTAAACTCGCTGAGATGGATCTGGTTAAAAAGTTTATCACCGTGACATGATGACAAAATTGTGCAACAGCAACTTGATCCTCTTATGTGTGGACCCTGGAGGCAGCTGTAAGCAGTGTAATTCTCGCGTTTTAAGAAGACTTTACGTGTCAAGAAGTTTCCTCAGTGATGTGTGAGCGTGTGTGTGTGTGTGTGTTGCAAAGATAGCTGAAATATTAAATAAATACCTCTCTGAGAAGATAAACACTTCTGTAAATCAACATGTTTTAAATCTCAATCAAATGACGGGGAGCACAAACACACCTCTCTACACACACACGGCATAATCAAACATTGACACGTCTATGTAATCAGCTGTTCCCACATCCGCCTCTGATTACCACCAGCGGATGATAATCTGTGAGCTGGAAAGTTTCTCGAAGTTGAAACACACACACACGCACACACACACACGCACAAGCAGATACAAACACAACGGTGCTGGAAGCAGCTGACAGGCCCCAGTTATCAGCCGAGGCAGGGAGCACTCGATAAGGGAGCTGCGAGGCATCATAAACACCAATACGGAGAAAGAGAGAGAGAGAGAGGATGACAGAGAGTAGGGGGGAAGAGCAGGAAAGGGAGGGATGAATCAGAGATGAAAGACGAAAGAGGAAAAAAATTCAACACTCCTGTCAGAGATAATAAAATCCTACGATGAAGAGCTCTGGTGCAGAGAGGGAGAATTAGAAGCGCTGGGGGAGGAGGACAGAGAGGGAGAAGGGGGAGCAAGGTAAAAGGAGACATGACAAGATACTTGCAAAGGAAAGAGAGTCACAGGGGCAAAGAGCGAGAGGAGGCAAGCGGGGTGTAGCCAGAGGGGAGAAAAAAGACAGGTAATGAGGAAAAATGGTGACGGAGACGGCGAGAGAAAGAGAGGAATCCGCGGGTGGAAGAGAAAAGGTTTGGGTACAAATCATAGACTGAATATACTATGGACAATTGGTTCCATCTTCTGCCAGTATAAGGATTTGAAGCCAAAAAGCTCTCGTTAATTCCTCGTTTTCTCTCCATTTCCTGAAACCAACATTGCGCAGTAGCATTGTACACTATATTAGTGGGAGTTGTCAATGTATGAGAACAGAGTGAGACGTATGAGTGTGTTTTGTTTTTTTTTCAACAAAGGGAGTGTTGGACCGAGTCAGCTTTATAATGAAGTGTCAATCATAGAAAACATGAACCCCCTAATAACTTTTAAAAATGGAGCTGTACAGAAACAAGAGGACTTGAGCACAAACCAGTCTGACAATAACTACATGTCAACATCGCGAGCAGGGGGGAAAAAAATTATATTTTGCTGGCGGAGGCGGGATTTATGACCTATACTGCAACCCATCACCAGAGGCTGCTGTTCTCGGAGTGTCTTCACTCAGCTAGGAGGCAGATGGCGTCCATTCTATATACAGTCTATGGTGCAAATATAAAATACTGGACTATATTAGTGGGAGTTGTCAATGTATGAGAACAGAGTGAGACGTATGCAGATGTACATATGATTATGCTCTCACACGTGGTGCAGATCAGATAAATCCACTTTGCAACCTGCCGTCGGCACTCAGGAAGGAATGAAACAGAAGCCGATACCTCTATAAGCGCCAAGGTTTGACTTCTCTGAAAGTCAGCGTTCTTAGAGATGTGAAATCATCTGAGGTCAAGTGGACGTGTGGTGGCTGCAAGTGCTACCCACACCTCATACACACACACAGAGGCCCACACACTCTGCGTATTCAAGTGATCTCATTTAATAATAAAGCAAGCTGCTGCTTTGTCTCCCAAGACGTCAGGCAGTCTGCTCTTTTCCCTCTGTCAGCAACTTTTGATCTAATCCCACTAAATCAAGAAGAATAAGAGGCAGCATTGGTTTTGACGTAGTAGTCAAACTACGCAAAAAATCCACCTGTCAACGTATGCCACACGGCGCACACATGCGAATTCATACACTAATGAAAATACATAAGGTGGGATCTGGATGTGTAAATAGATGACTTTGCAGACATTATCAGTAGAGCTGATTTGACTGAAACTAACTCAGTAAAAAAGGACCAGATGTCTCCAAATTGATGTGGATGGACTTGTCAGACTGTAAAAACAGACAGAGTGCCAGTCGAGTGCTACAGCAGGCAGATGCCTTTCACTGAAGTGTGGAGTGAACACGTGCGCGTGGATGAAAGTGTAGGAACAAACACAAATCATCTGAGGTCAAGTGGACGTGTGGTGGCTGCAAGTGCTACCCACACCTCATACACACACAGAAGTCAAATATTTTATAGATGACGTATTTAATTGATTATCCAATAATCTAAATAATATTGCTTCTCATTTCATGAATTTTTGCAGAAACAGAGTAAACTTTCTTGTTGTGGTACTAAAGAGTTATCTTATCTCATTACCAGGCCAAAATATATGTTTACTTTATATTCAACGGAGTAACTCATGCACATTAACTTAAGAGAGTTTTTTGGTAGTAGTCAAACTACGCAAAAAAATCCACCTGTCATCTATGCCACAGGAGCATTTAGAAAAGGTTTGAATAAAGTTACCTGAAGAAAATGAAGATGACTTTGCAGCGGATCATTTCCGTGAAGTAATAATCATTATAATAGTCATTTTCCACTACAGACACGGTAGTTCTTCTGCCCTAGCGTCTCG